TTTTTTTTCGTCTGAATGCCATCCGGCAAGCGACATTTTCATCGAACGAAAGTTCTACAACTTCGTTGTCGTTGAGTAATAAAATATATGGCTGGAAGCCAGTACTAATAATTTGGATGTTTTTCAGTATGATTTTTATTTTTGTTTGGACGGAAATTGTGGCTATCGTTATGTACTGCAATTATTGTACCAAGTAGAATGTACTTTACAGTAAAACATAAAAGTGTTGGCACAATTCATTCGCCGGGTGCTCTTCATTATCAAATTGACTCCACGGTCGCGATGCTGTCAGACGACGTGATGACCACCATCAAAGCTGACACGAAGGCCTATTTGCAAAGGAGTGGGCGCTTTCATGGGAGCCCTGACAATGCTGCCCTCGCAAAAATACAATTGCACAACTAAAACTGTCCGAAATATCCTAAGGAGCAAGCCCAGACCCGGCCCTCCCCCGCTATAAAGCAGGTTACAACTACAGAAGTACGCGATGTTAAAGCTGACAACATCGCAATTGCCCAATCGAGAGATCTGATTGGTTGGGATGGCATATTTTATTACGCAGCCAAAGTTCTACAAGTTCGTTGTCGTTGAGTAATAAAATATGGCACTACTCCACAGACTTGAGGACAATGCTGTTACGGGAGCCGACTTGGCTTTCTACGCGTTGACAGACATTGCTTTTTGCCGCGCTCTCATCTGGCTCCATCAACTGCACAAGCGTGTGCGAGTCGTTATCGACCGGAAGTGGGTTCGTTCGTGTCCGTCTGCCATTGAATCCGTCGAGCTGTTGATCGCCGCTGTCATTGACGTCCGCCACCGTAACCCTATCATACACTACAAGCTACTCATTCTTACATACAAAGTCGATATTTTCGTTTCGTCTGGAAGTGCCAACCTGACTACAGCGGCATGGAATCGCAACGACGAGCTTTTCGTCCAAACCATGGGCCCCTCCAGGTCAGTGCAGTTTGATTATTATCGCATTGCTATTTCGTCTATCGTTTTGTTTTTAAGGTACGTGGCCCAGGCAATGTTTGAACGGTTGTTCAAGCGGAGCCTGAAGACTGGTCCTGTCTTCAACGATCTGAGTCCTACTGAACCCATTGGTTTCGGGAGCGAGCATACCGGGTACTCCGCCTAATGGGCCATTCATTATCCCCGTCCCAACGGGTTCATTCCGGATTCTCCGCCACAAAACTCCAAAAAAAAAACTGTTGTTTGACATGCTCAACGGATTCGAGAAAAGCGATCGCCACGTCTCGTTATTTGATCTTATTCTTTTAAGGGGTAGAAACGAAGATGGCCAGCAATCAAGTGAAACTGCTGCTGCATGGAGGAGACACGATGCTCGGCCGCGCGGTGCAGCTTACGTTTCCGTTTCAAGCTCCTAACCAGGAGCTCATCATCAAAGTCTCGACGACTGTAGG